AGTTTGTATTCATTTAGTTTGAGTTTATTTTGCCAAAAAATATTCGAAAATAATGACAAACTTTCCGGCCGTGTTAATTGAAAAGCGTCTGCCAACTTTCCAACAATACGCGTCAAATGAGACCAGAACAATCAGGTGGCTCAGACAGATGTAGAAGGCCCATAGAGGTTCTGTCAGATCCAATTTATTGTGTTGAGGGCTGGGTTATGATGGCTCAGGATGGGCTGCGATGGGTTACGATGGGTTAGGATGGGTTAGGATGACGGAGGATGGGTTGGGATGGAGTGGTATGTCAGCGGCACTGCGAGGCGCGTTCAATCACAATTCTAATTACCAAGCTCCCCGAGGTAATTAACTTTGCATGCATTACACAAATTACGCAAACAGTGCGAGTGCGTCGCACCGAAAGCTTTATCAACTCAATTACGAACGAAGGGGGTTCCCCTCCATTGGCTCAGCTCCTTCCCTGCGTCCTTCGTCCTTCGTCCTTGGTCCTTCGTCCTGCCGTGGCCTGAAAGTGTCACAGAGATGCTTTGCACAGATAAACAACAAATAAGCATTGTTTGTAATTTAGCGAAATTGTTGTTGCTGCTGCAGCCTCTCCTCTGTGCTCCGCCAGGATCCCTTCGCGATTGCCCAACCCACCATTTCCCAAGCCACTGCCACCGCCAGGAGCTCCCTTATCAGCCGACTACAATCGGGAGTGTGGAGCGTGGTGATGGCCGATGGGACCGTCAAAAGGTTACTGCTAGTTTGGAGCACTTCGGGTACAGTGGGCACTGCCATCAATGGGCTATTCCCATGTAGTGTATTTAATTTCTCTCCAAGTCCCTTTGCAAATGAACATTATTCTCGTTTTGTAATAATATACATAAAATATATGAAAAATACCGTGCTTTTCTACTTTATAATGGATGACTTTAGATCGTAACTATTAGAATGACTTAAGCGAAGTGCTAGTATTAAATTATTTGGTAATATATTATGTATTGAGTGCTCACTGTTGCAGCGCGTGTGTGGAGCTATTTTCCTGCCGTTTGTAGTTGGTTTGTTTGCTCCTGGGTCTTTCACACTCTGCCCTTCTAGTTTTAAGCCCAGTATCGCATTGCAGTAGCGTCTAAATAGTCTGTGGAAACTCTGTGATGGGGAAATGTATCCGAGTGCTTGTGAAACGATAGGTGTAACGTGGTTTTTGCTGCTGTGGGCGTGGCAACAACTTGCTTGACAGTTTAGCATAATTTCAAAGTCGTAACTTTTCTTTAACATACGAGTATATACGCGTAATTCAATGACATATTGTTACACACAAATAATAAAGAATGAATATATTTCGTGTAAAAAGCGACCGATATTAAAATGAAAGCTCAAAAAACGTTCATTTAACTTGGGTATGCAAAACACTAAACTAAGTCTAGACCCGACATAAACCCACATATCTTGCCAAACACAGCCAAAAACTCCGAGCAAAACTAAACAAAAAGTAGCAACAAAAGTGAGAAAAACGGAAATAAATCTAACAGAACGGCTTTGGTAGGCGACTTTCGCCCCAAACCCCCAACAAAGCCCCCGAAAATTTATACCATGTGCAGATGTGTGCCTTGGTTTTTGATTTCTTTTTGGCCTATTGTCACAAACACCACAAGCCTCTACATTGTATATTTGTAAGTTAAGGGCCATATATGTGCATCGCCGCTTACATATGTCAACTTTTGTGCCTCGTAAGGGTAATGTTTTCGCAGTGGAAAAGATGTCCTGCGGATTTGGACGCACCACAAGGCAGTCCAGGAACTAAGTGGTTAACTCAAACCGGTGGAACAATATCCTAGTTTCCCAATTTTTTACAAGTATTTTTATTGCAATATTACAAGAGCAAGTCAAGTGAATTTGCATGCACTTAAAGCAAGAAAATTCCATGCAAGTAAAAGCATTTCTTGAATAACATTTCACAATACAGGTATATAACATGAATACTATGAATATAAATTCCTAGAAATGTCGCGGCAAATGACACCAGCAAATCAGTATACCCAATGCCACACAAAAGGGGCAGAACTCACAACAAATAAAGTTTGTGGATTTTTGTTTTAGACGCTTTAGGTGAATGGCACCCCAAGCTAATATTTTTTGCCCGGAATTTATGTCCAACGATTATTTCAGCTGAACGAATACAACGCACTCCAGCGACCGCAGAACAAAATCATTATTTACACATGTCTCGAAATTGGTTTTAGTCTAGTACACGAGTGAATGGACTTCATCGTAATTGAGCAAATACTAATCGTTAGGTCCTTCTTATTACATTTCAATTACCGCTGAACATAGAATCAGCTCTTCTTATAAATATTTTAAGTATTTAACAAGTATTATAAGTATTGAGTCTATCCTTTGGCCCAATAAATATTTCTACTCGAAACCTATAATATTTTTTGGCCGAATCAAATCATTTTTGAACCCAGTTGCATACGGCGTTGCAGGATGAGCACATCCTGCTTATCTGCATCTGACTGCAGCCGCATAGCTGCGATATCTGCCACATGTGCAACTCGCATTTGTTTCTGGCCCAGGAACATGGCATCCGTTTGTTTTTGCCCTACGTTAAGTCATTCAAATTAGATTGCATTTCGGCCAACGTGCTTGGCATATTAGCCGGAATTAAATGCAATATCTGTCCAGAGAACAGGAGCTGTACCACATCATCAGTTCCGTTCCCAAATGATATTTTGAAGAGGATGTTTGGTGGTTGCTAACAAACTGATATTTTTAACTAATGGTGGAGGAAGTACAACCGCTTCAGTAAGTACATCATAACACATTGGTAAGTAAACATGAAAAACATCTGGGCTGACCTAAAAAAATGCGGCGAGCAATTGTAGGGGCAGGACTACGCCACAATTCAACACAAAGGACATGCAGCCATGATTTTTATGAGCTTGTATTTATATGGTTTCCTTATATCCACGCCGTAATAGCCAAGGGTCCTGATTGCAGGGCAACAGCCACACAACAATGGCATGGAGTTGGGCCCAACCAAAGTGGAATATCGGATGGGAAATAAAATTGCTTTCTCGTGCACATGTACGTCTGTGCGATTGTTCTCGAAGCCACCTTACCAGGAAATTTATGATTATTAAATAGCATTCATTTGTATTCTTGACGGAATAATTAACCATGGTTACTTGCTCGTTTTCCCATTCGAAGGGAAAGGAGTGCAACTAGCTAAAATCAATAGCAACTAAGTTTAATGATTGCTTATTTCGTCATTAATTTAATTCTGTATTACTCGCGACTCCATTGAAAACTGAGTTATTTTGTAAAACACAGTTGTAAAAGCAGCTTAAAATGACTTCCTGTAATAGCACTTAAAAACATACTGCATGAAAACACCTTTTATTAACATTTTTATGCCCCTTCTTAAACGAGGCAACAATAGTCACAATCGCCACTCTTTAATCTGCTTTGTTGCTACAAAATAATCGTAACTTTTATTAATTGGCACGACAACTGCCTGAGCGGAATTTTGAATTTTAAACAAATTCCCCTTGATGGTTTCAGGATTTCAAACAAATTCGAGTTTAATTGTGCGGCCAGCCTGTGGGACAATAAAATCATTTTACGATCATTTTCCTGCTTCCCGCATTTCTTTATCGCTCTGGCCAAGTCGCAGTTGAACAGCAGGGAAGTCAGAGTTGATTTTTCCGGACTCCTCAGCCGGGTCCTGCAGTCCTTCGGGAGTGGAGGCACCCTCGCATCCTGCCCATCCTCGCCTGCACTTCCTTCGACTTTCTTGTCTGCACTTTGCGGCTGACTTTTGCCCAAAACACGACAAGGTGTGGAACAGCCGGCGGAGTTCCCTTATGACGGGTTTTTCCCTCTGGTATTGCCCACATCACCGAGTCAGCAGCCGAGAAAAGTCAATAGCCATCCGGCAGATGCAGAAGGAAAAGCAGAAGCTTTCTACGTGTAGAAAGGGAAAAACTCTGGCAACAGAAAAGCTAGCACAAGTGCAGGTGGCTAACAAATAAAGCAATTGTTTCTTTTCTGGCTTTATTGGGCCGATTGAAATGGAGAAGTGAGGCGAGCATCCAAGGAGTCTGAGGCAAAGCACTTTAAACTACAATTGCAATGCATTTACGACTCAACTATTGCCAAGGCAACAGGATACATGAGTTGCTGTATAGAAATGTTTTAAAAATTAATATTTTTCCATTGGCAATGCAACATTTCACTTTAAGTCCCCACAAATGGCACAGCAATTTGTTGCGTGTTTTCCGGTGCAGAATGTGAGCAACATGGCCCATTAATGTCTAGCATAAGCATAAAAATCCATGGTGCGTTGGCCTCCTCCCCTGAAAGCCACAAGCACAACAGCGTTCGGAACTCAGACCCATCTCCCATCCTCCAAAACGGAGCCGAAGGATGTGCTCCGGCTGGGTGCCTGCAGATTAGGATGAAGGTCACGCTGGCTGGTCGGTGTCTCCTGGCAGAGTACTCACGCTGCTCTTGGCCATGATTTAATTAAAGTCTACATGTGCTAAGTAGATCTTATTCTTTGCTCGCTCATTTGGTTTATTTGCCTATTTTCCCGAGTCCTCTGTTTCGCCTGCTGGCCATAATTGATTTAGGCATTTACCGCATTAGGCCAAAAAGGTGCTCATACACTAGGAATTAAGTCAGGAAGAGCATGGCGGATATACCATACTTGTATTTGATTTGGCAAGCAACATTAAGTCAGTTCTCAATAGTAACTTTTCTGGATATACATTATTCTATTTACCGACTGCCTCATACGAAATGAAGTCCCCTAATTAACTTGTGCCTTCTCGATAGCCAATTCTGGCTCACAATTGTGAGTGTATCTAATTGTTATAAACCTATGGGTTCTGGGCATTGTTAATTTATAGCACAAGCCATACTGCATGTCACAGAGAAGGGCTTTAAATACGCTTTTAAATGTGCATTATTGAATTATACGTGTGTGAATACGAGTGAGAGCTACTTACACAAGGATTTGGCAGCAGGATGCTCTTGGATGGCAGGACTCAAGTGTTGTTGCATTGTCCAGGCTCTCGAAATGCTTATCATTATTACGAGGATTGGCGTTGCGATGCAACCGAAGCACTTCCCCTCCGTAGCCATGGTCCTGCGAGCCGGATTTTACTTACTTATATTGGTTCACACCTCAAAGGCGGTTGGATGAGTGTTAGTTAGCCGCACAACTTTGGGTATTTTTGTTTACATTACTGCTAGTGGCTTGGTTCCTCAATCGTTTTTGAAGTGCATTCTGTAAGGAGAGGGAGGATACATTTTCATTAGCGCTATTATGGGTGAAACATCAATTAAGAGCTCTTGAAATGAATTAATTTGAGGTTTTGCAGCTATGCCAAATCTCCAAAATAAATGATTTTATGATTATTTAATAGTTATATGTATCTTACAGAATCAAGTTAAGAATTGGCATGTGCAAAACAACTTCTTCCATCGCATTCCATGTTCGAATTTAACAGCAGCAAATATTGATATAAGGCGCAGTTCTTTACTATAAATGTCCCTCATTCACATTTCACGCATTTATCAGCTATCAAATTGTTGCGGCATTCATTTATTTTCCCTGCAGCAGAAAGTGTGCGTTTGTGTTTGTTAAGCCCCCATATTTTGTCTGTAGTGGCAAGTTGCTTATCGCCACCATGTCAGAGGAGCCGCTTTTACCATCGCAATTATATTTACATCCCGCAAGCCGCACTCAAATAGTTTTTTATTTGGCCATAAAACACATAAATTGGGCAGCTGAAAGGTGTGCGGGGCTAGCCTTGATCAGTCACCAAATGTGCAAAGGCCAACAGCCAGTTAATATGTTAATTTTTACACGAACTGCGCTTTGTTGCACATGAAGTGCTCCACGAACATTCCAAGAGATATGGTATTCAATAAATAGCGGCTCCATGTCCTTCGACCCTTCAGGTCATCGCAGGACTTTAATGATTTCATCCGCTGGCGGGGATCGGTAATGAGCTCTTGGTTGTTGGTTGTTGCGTTGCCAGTCAAACAATGCTGACCAAATTAACAAGGAATCAGCTTAAATTGCGCACGGCAGTTGTCATTTCATCGATGGTTAATTGAATCTAGTGCTTTTCGGATGATTTAATGCAAACCTAACTCCATTTTCATCGCGATTATGATGTTCATAATTTATGATGTTCAGCCAACCAATTTAAAGTGCCACAAAATAGTCTGCTGGTCACTTATATGGTGAAGTCACTCAAATTCACGTAAATCCACTTATCAAGTTTAGCGTCTGGCTTTTGTCTTCCGTTGTGTACTTCAGGCATAAATGCAAGTTAATTAAACAAACCTGGTTGCACATTAATCACCTGGACAGCGGCCAAAAAGCCACAAAAGCACCTGGAGACGACTTGGTCTTTAAGAGGAAAAGTCAAGGGAAAAAGCTCGTAGAAAATTCAATTAGAAAGAGACGAAAGGCGGCGAAAGGAGCAAGAGAACGGTTCGATTTCAATGTCGTTTTTTTGTTTTTGGGTTGTCCCCGGACATATGTATTCTTTATAAGGTTATAAGATTAACGAGAGACAAGCTCGTCTACCTCTATTCCCTCAAGCGGCACTTAATTAATGCCACATGCAAAGAGTCCTGCGAGGTCCTTGGCCTTTGTCGGCTCCTTTTAAAGGCAGCTGGCCAATTGTCCAACAAGTTTTCTTTAAAATTTTGGTTGTGGTTCAGCCGTTTGTCAGTTTGTTTAAATTTTAAAATAGCTGTATAGGTTTGTATAGCTGTAGGTTTCCATTTTGTTAACATTATTATATGGTAGAAAAACAAGCAACAAATGCTGTTAGCCAATATGTAAAACATTGCTAGTGCTAACATTTGACCAAAAATCAAATGGATGTATATGTTTGTAAAAGTTTTAAAAAGTCCAAAACTACAACAGCTATTGGCTGTCTGTGGAAAGTTTATTTATTGACTAAAAACTTTCACCTTTCCACATCATCCCATTACATTTTTAGCGGTTTACGGAATTAATTACCGTCCTTATATCACCACTAGACTCATTAGGAATGAGGACTCACTTCAAAGTCAATCCGTAACACACGTGCTCATTAGGTTCTTCCTATTTTTATTCCGCCCTGGATTTCAGCGAAAAAATGCGAGGGAACTTCAAAAGCAGATAGGGCGAGGGAGAACTTGGAAAAACTTCCATCTCAACTTGGAAAAACTTTGATTTAACATTTATTTTTGCACGAAACTCTTGGTTGTTTATGCAACTGGCAGGAATTTCAGTTGAAGTCTTGAAGAAATGTGTTTTGCTTTCTGTTTCAATCGTATCGCTAAGCGTATAATTTGCAAGAAACCCGAGTAACAAATGCATTTTCGATTGGCATTAAATCACGTCGCCCGTCCGAGTTCATTTCCGATGAGAAATGCATGTTTTTCTCTGATTTATCCGTGCTTCTCTTTTAGAGGAGGGAAAAACGAGCCACGATGAATGCGAAAGAGCTGTGTAGGTGGGTTAATATTAATGTGATTAATGCTGTTATTCGACTCACTTTGGATGTCAGCAGCACGACGAATATCTTCATAAACTGAAGAATGTCAGTATTTTGTTGGTGGTTGATGCAAGGGGACAATATCTTTCACTGGCCGCATAAAGCGGCCTCCAATTCGAAACTTCACTTTTGCTTCGCGAATATTATACACTGAGCGAAATTGCAGCCGATCGATCTTAGTGTCGTCACGCACAAGTTGAAAAAACATGCGGCAGTTGGGAATGTTGGGAAAGTTGGGAAGCCGCCACACCGCAATCGAGTGCGGCAACTACGCGATATCCTTTCGCGACCAAGTCCACACTCTGCGATAAGGATTCGAAGTCACATCCGCGCCAAAGGACAAAACACGTGCGCCGCGAGTTGAAATTCATTTGATACTGCGGCATCCGAGGCCGGAGCTTTTTCGTATTGTTGTTTCCTCCTCGCTGCAAGTAACCGATGCGACGAGCGCCGAGTCCTGCCAGCCACGAACAGGACCAATCCGAAAGCAGACGGGGCAGGGGCACTCCGAAAACGGTTGACGTTGCGGCGAATTCGGGAAAATCCTCGTATTTCAAGGGGCGAAAGTCTAAAAGGGGAGAATTTTAGCAACTGAAGGTAAGCTGCGACACAATTAAGAGAAAATAGGAAAACACGTCATAGGAAAAGACATTCTTATTAAGTAGTTAAAGATAGGTCTTAAAATTATTGTAAACACTTTTTCCACTTTAAAAATATTATTTTTCAAATATGCAAACTGCTTTGCCTTCTGATTCACTGCTTAGGAATTTCCCTTTACTGCTTACAGGGTAAAAAACAAATGCAATGGAGTGGAGAACCGGGGAAATTTTAGTTCTTCAAACAATGAACTGCTTTCACGCATATAATCTGCTTAGAACTGTACTAAGAAATTCACTGGGAAATATACTGATCTAATATTCAGTTGTGGGAAATATACACTGCTTTCAAACAACTATTCAATTGTAAAAATGTTCCTTGGGACACAGAACTGCACTGCTTTTCATGTCAACAGGTGTGTTCAAAATCTTGTGATTTATATACATACCCCAAACGCAGAAAACATTAAGTAATACACCCTTTAAACGCATTTTCTGGTTTACTTCTCATCTTTCAATTTTATTTTATTTATGCAAAATCGTGTTTCCATTAAATATACAAATGAGATTTAAAATCGAATCGAAAGTATAGCGCTTTTAAGCAAGTATTGGGGATTCTACGGAAAGGTACACACAAATGTAAGAAAACTATAAGTAAAAGTATAAAAATATTTGAATCTATTGTTTGCCTTCAAAATGCAGTTGGAATTGTTAAGTTCAGTTAACATAATAGAGTTAACACTTCGCGCATCGCTACAAAAAACGCACTTAAATAATTACGATTACAAAATTTTGATAATATAACTTTTCACAAATCTCTCAAGCCGTTGTAAACGAATTTAAAAATAATGTTTTCTCAACTCGGAGAAAAATGTTTAAATATATGTTGTACAACAGAAAATTTATCGTGTCTTTAACTAATTTATCAGTATAGAGGTTGAATTTACTAGATTGTTAGTGTACACTATCGGCATCCAAAGATTTGCTCGTATTGCTTTTTCCTAATTAGACTTGACGAGAAGTTGTTGATGAATGTGAATGGCTTCTTGAGTTTCGACTGATAGAACATTTTCCGGTTTTTTAACTAATTGCGAAAAATTAGGGCTTCCTTCACTATTTACTATGACGCGTATTGTGTTTGCATCTGCTGCAGCTGCTGATGATGTTGCTGTTCGAGAGGTAAGCGTGCCTGACGCTTAAAATCATTTGAGCTTGGCGTATGCGTCGACCTTTTTGTGAAACTGGTTGTAGTACTCCAGAGCGGCGTTACGCGTCTGGTTCAGCGCCTGATTGATATTCTCGGGCGAGAAACGGCCACTAAAGAAAGATCAAAATCGCAAGGGGATGTATTTTCGAAGAAATCACAGCCAGACAGGCGGGCTACTTACACAAGCACCTTTTCCTTGATGAGCGCGGCAGACTTTTCGTAACTACTGACGGCTAAATCGCTAGTGCCCGCGGCAAAAGCTTCGATCTTGCTAGACAAATTGGGCACGTATTGGTCAATCTACAAAATAGATAGCACATATTAACATTCAGAGATTAATTCAAAACTAGTTTGCGCATGACCTCATCCACAGGCCGACTGAAAGACACTTACGAACTTGGCCACAACGGGCCACTTGGCGCCAAAGTATCCCTTGCCGCTCTGGTAAACGTTGCAGGCCGCATTCCTCGCCAGCTTCCACAGGTCGCCGGTGGTCTTGATCACCGGCTCTGTGTACGGCGGCACATTCACTTCCGCCCACTTGTAGCCCCGTGCTCCGGCGCTCATGACTGTGTACCAGGACTTCTGGACATGCGGCAGCACTCCGGCATTCTTCAGCACCTTGCCGGTGGCCGATTTCTCGAACACGCCCTTGCCGTTGACCTCGGTGTCATAGTACAGAGCACCGGCAATCAGGGCGATGATAAAGATGCTGCCCAAGGTCCACTTGCAGCATCCGCATCTCTTTTTCTCTGCCGCAGTCTTCTGTTTGTTCTTCTTCTGCTGCGCACTGCTCTTTTCCTGGACACTCTAAATAGTATAAAATAAGAAAATTACTAGGCATGTTAAATGCTACAGAAAGATAATATTGTGGAATAATTTGATTGAATTGATTTGTTTACCTTTTTGGCGGCCGGCGCTGGTTTGCCGCCCTGTTTGTTACTTTTCGGTTTAACCTGAGCCATTTTCTAACTTAATTTCAATGCGTTTCGATTACAAAGAGTATTTCTAGTTTTTTCAGCTGTTCGCAAAAGATATTTAATTAGTTTTCGTGTTTATCATTGCAATTGTGTTTACTAAAAAGAATGACGATACTTTTTGAGCTTTTAAACCGAGCTTTTTTTTTGCGACTGAGCTCGATGACCTAAGATTTGAGAAAAGCAAAAACCGCGATGGGGGATAAGTAAAAATACGTACGTATACGTTGAATACGTAGTTATTATTTCAATTTGTTCAGATTCAAAACAATAAAATTCAAACTGCAGTCTATGAGTTAAAACTCGCTTGGCATACTTAAAATCGACCTAATTTAAAATATTAATCTCAATTAAAATGTTGCACAAATTTTAAGCAAATAAGCTTTTAATTATTTTACCTTTTTCGGTAAATTATATATATTTACTGATAAAGAAAACTTGAAAATGAAATCATTAATTTAATGTTTTGTGTTTTTTAAATAGTTATCATAATAAAAATTTCGTCTTGGCAAAGCTTCACATTTATTCAAAAATAAAGTATTATTTACACTCACAATAGTTTCTTCAAATTTCTTCGGACAAAGAGTTGAATGAACTATGGCTTATGCCCTCGAAATTTCGTCTCTTTTATGCTTTAGGAGTGAAAGAAAGAAAGAATGGTAGATGGCCGGCGAGAATCAGGGTCACAGTGGACATGCCACGTGTTGAAGCAGCCTTTTGGTACGTGGGGATTCGGAATCGTGGCGTTGCGAGATTTACAGGTGAGAGTGCGAAACTGCACCACTGTGCAATAATGAGAGTGAGAGTGCGGAGGAGCGGCGAAGAGAGGACAGTGCGCACAAGCGGGATGAGAGAGGGGAGTGGAAGCGGGAGGCAAGTGACGAGTGGCCAATCGCAGCTGGAACACATCAGTCAATAGGAAAATAAAAATAGGCGTCAGATCAGCCGAAAATTAGGTGTACTGATAAGAATGTTGCCTGATAATGGGGCAATTTATGATGCCCAATGGCCATGCCCACGATGATGCCTATCTCTCTTTTCGAAAGCAACACGTCCGCCCTGCTCGGAGAAATTTAGCGGCAACTGGAACCCGCATGGCAACGCTATGGGAAAAGTGCAGCTATAGCTGCCACCAATACCAGTGCATAACGGCGGAATACACAACCGTTAATGATGGCACACACACTTATGTCCGAAACGCACTTTGCACTGCAACAACAACAACTGCGAGAACGCGATAATTAAGGTGCGGGCCACATATTTATGCTCACTCCAGGCTTAAAAAGCCAGTTGAATTGCGGAGAAATTTCGGGCGAACGCCGGCTAGCGCTTTCCATCTCTTTCTCGCAGCGACGTCGCGTTGGCAGCGTCCCCTCTGAACTCCATCACCATTATCCGCTAATTGTTGCGTTAATTTTGCGTAAAGAGGTTAATTTCGGCTAACTGCAGTCTAGTGAGCTCAAATCATTCTTTTTAGTGCCGATTGCAATTAATTATTCACTTTTGGCTGCCAATTGTACAAGTTTATACCTTCGTTTTTCTTTTCACGAGAGCAATGTGACCAGACTAGGTAATGCACAAGGGCCACACTACTTACGAACGCTCAAGGGAAAGTGTTACCAGAGATGTGTGAAAATTTAAATTTGTAAACCGAGTTTCTAATTTATATTCAGTTCACATAAATTGGTTAGACGCCTAACATAATAATAACATTATCTAATAACTATTTTTCTAAGAAAGCTACATAAAATTAAACAATACACATTAAACTTATATCGAACTAATTATTAGAGTTTCTGATCTATTTAAGCCGCACTCACCAGCAAAACCTCCATTAAGCTATCTAGGTGACCTTCATTTCGCTTGCTCCCCTGCAGTTCTTGGTTCAGATTCTCCAGATCTTGCAGAAAAGAGTGATATACAGTCGACGTAGCCAACTCATGGGTAGACGTGGTCCAATTGTCGTCTTGGAAAGGGATAGAATTCGATATTAGATAACACATTAACGATAAGTGCATGTACAGAATGTTACATGAAATGGATTAATTAAATGGATTTTCACAAGCTCGTACCAATAGCTTTCAGTAGCAGTAGGCTAGGCAACTGTTGCTTCTTGTAGTTCATGCGCCACACACGGAGGCAATCATCTCTGCCGCTGCTGAGCAGACAACTAATACAGCCTTCGATCTCGTTAGTCTGCTTGGAGCTGGCACTTATTTCCCGAAAGAGCGTAAGGAATATGTTGGCATGCTTCACAGGACTGTTGATATAGCTTTGCTAAACACAGGAGGAAGGAAGGTCAGTAAAGCAATAGGACAACTATCAATTTTTTCTCGGACTTACAAGCAACAAACGCGCACTTCGCTTCAGACTTTGCTGCCATTCCTTGGGCAGGTTGTTGTAGGGAGCATTCAGTGCATTGTAGGTGGCAAAGAATTCCTGCTGGTTGAGCTGCAGGGGATCCGCTGTCTTCCGGGCAGCTGCTGCACTCAGAGCCCGCTCTATATACTCGACAACAAACTTGGTATACTGCTTCAGCTCCAGGTTGGGCAGCATCAGGTTCTGCCAGACGCGAACGCCTTCGTTTAGCGTCTGATAACCGCCCTGGCCGATGGCCCACAGGATGCTCAGGCAGATGTTGCTGCGATTCTGGTAGGAATTCCTTAGCAACGCAGTCTTGGCCAGGTTTCTAGAGCAAATGTTCGGCCAGTTTTGACCGATCAACTGCAAGATCAGCTTGTAACCTGCCACCGTCTGATTATTGTTTAGATCCGTTGACATGCTATCCAGCAGGGAGTAGAAAAAATACTCCAGGTTTTGCTCGCCCACACTGGCCAGAAATTCTACAATCGAGTACTTCAGCGAGGCACTGGCCAAGTTGCTGGGATACTGAGCCGAGCGGCCGGAGAAGATGGGATCGCAGTCATAGGACAAGGCTTCATTGAAGTAGCTAGCAATCTGGGGGATAGCGATAGGTGAGCAAGAAATAAGGTAAATCCTTAAGAAACATACGTGGCTTAACCAGCGCAGCTCGGAGCCAGGACAACGGAGCTTCACCTGCTCCAGTTGGGCTGCAAAATCATCCCGGGTGATGTTCCTCAGGGCCAGCTCCAGGGTCTTTGGCTTCGCAGTAGCTGACGATGTAGTCTTTTTCTGGGTCGAGGCAGCGACATTCTTTACGGTGTGCTTTTTAACCGGCGACTTATTGGCTTTTGAGGAAGATGAGGCACTTGAACTGGATTTCGCAGGGGAATGGGACTTGCTGTTGTTGTTGTTGCTGCTGGAGCCGAACAAATTGCGATACCGCTGAGTTGGCACTGCGTGGGATAAAAGGGCACGGTCAAAGATTTAATCGCATTGCCAGGTGCACTCTTGAAAAGATTCTTACACAGCTCCTCCAGTTTTGGCAACTGGGCCGCAATACGCTTCTGCTCGTTGTGCGCAATCACCTTCTTGTCTAGGTTCTTCTGCTTGCGCGACTTGGAGACCACCTCCCATTGTTCCGACATGTTGCGTGCAGTCTGTTAATCGATGAAATTAAATTAAATCAGGAAATGCAGGCGGCCGGCGGAATAAAAAGCAACAAGCCGAGAGTGTGGCCAGCGCGTTTTTAAGTAATGAGGGCGACTTCCAGTCGTTGAAATACTGAATGCTATTCAACACGATAACAAAGCAGTTGCTTGCTTTTTTGCGTGTTTAAATATGTTGAAATCAACTGCCAATTACAATTAAATTACAGGGAAATCAATTTTCATTTTCATTACCAGGGCTGCAAAAATTTTTCGTGTGCAACGCATACGAAAGTTTTCAACCGTCGATATTTACTACACACGTTGCATTGGGCACACTGCTCTGCTTGTTTACATTTACAAATTGAAAATTAATAATTTATAGTTTTTATAAATAAATAACCAAAATGGCTGCATCGCGCTCCCGGCGCAACAATGCCGGCAACAAAATAGCCCATTTATTGAATGAGGAAGAGGAGGACGACTTTTACAAAACGTCCTATGGCGGATTTCAGGAGGACGAAGAGGATCAGGAATACGAGTGGGTACCAATCATTCGAAGAATATTGGATGCATAAGCCATTTAAAATCTACTCTGCAGGCAAAAAGACGAAGAGGAGGATGTGGTGGACTCTGACTTCAGTATTGATGAGCACGATGAGCCCGTTTCGGATCAGGAAGAGGCGCCCGAGAAAAGGCGGAAACGCGGTGGCGTTAACACAAAGGCTTATAAGGTGCCTGCCATTATTCAAATACTTTATAATCCTGTGATTACCTTGAAAGAGTTTTAATGGTAGATATGATTTCCACAGGAAACAAAGCCCGCAGTCAAGAAGGAAACAAAAGCCGCACCGGCCCTGCACAAGAAACGAGTAGGTGGTGGAGTAACGAAACGGCGTGTACGTCCCCGATTCACAGTCCTCGATTCTGGCCGCAAATCCATACGCACATCCACGGCCATCAAGACTCAGGCTACCAAAATACGCCTCAAGGAATTGGATGATGCCCGCAAGCGCAAAAAAAAGAAGGTGCGTGTGGAGGATTACATGCCCACGCAGGAGGAGCTGCTGGAGGAGGCCAAAATAACCGAGGAAGAAAACATTAAATCTTTGGGTGAGTGTTAAAAGCAGACAAAAAAGCATTTATATTACAATCTGTGAATTTACAGAGAAATTCCAGAAAATGGAGCTCGAGAAGAAGAAATCACGTCCCACCAAGCGCACATTCTCTGGGCCCACTATACGCTACCATTCACTGACCATGCCTGCGATGCGGAAGCCCACTCGTGGAGCTAACCCTGCGAGCGATTCAAAGGATCTCGCTGGAAAGTGCGAACGCACATTCGTCACCATCGAGAACGATTTCAATGACAAGGTGTTCCAGAACATCTTCCGCCACATGGCGCCACCCAAAGCAAGCAATGGTATCTGCCCAATCACTAGACTACCAGCCCGCTACTTTGACCCGGTCACACAGCAGCCCTACTACAGCATCCAAGCCTTCAAAATTCTGCGCGAGGCCTACTACATGCAGTTGGAACAGCAGGGCGGCAGCAGTGAGCAACCCGAGCTAGCCAAATGGCTGGAATGGCGTAAGCTGGTCAAGGAGAATCGTCTGAAGGCTTCAGCAGCTTCCAGCAAAAACGGGGACAAATAGAGCTGCTACCACTGTCCTAGTTTTTTAATTAAAAATTTATATACAAAGAGACACATCGATTAAAGGTTAAGAAATTTTTGAAACTTTTTAAATAACAAATCAAAAAGTACTTTTTTGGCAACCCTTGTATATTTCAGGCAATAGCAAACGTTTACCTAACATATTCATTTAAATATATTTCTAACAATTGCGACCATGGAGAAGTATATAGGGTTTTTCCCTAAACCTAATCTTCGAAGAGTGTTTATAATCAACGCATAGTCTGCTTTCATTGTTTTCTTATTAGCAGCATCCGGTTTATTGACTTAACAAGATGATAATACAGTATGCCCAAAAGAAAGTTTATCTTGCTAATCAAACATATATAAACCTATTTATTTCTAGTATCCAGTTTTGATTACTGTTCTATTTAAAAGTTTAGTTGCCCTAATAATAAAAGCGTCGCAGTCTTCTATTAAGATTATTCATAACAATTGTTTCTTCTATTAAGATTGTTCATTAAAATTGTTTCGCTTAATTTGCGTCAAATTGATAAGCACACAGACTCTATGCAATATATAACAAAATCTGGAGGAAATGCGGTTGTTCCGACACCCAATACCTAATAAATAAGTATGAGTACTTGCATCATTTTAACCTTATTTAATCTCCATTTATAATTTATTGGCTAATTATTGAGCGTGTGTATGTGTATCGTTCAATTTTAATTTCCGAATAAAATTGTTTTTCTATTTGAATCTGTTACAGGGAATTAGTTCAGTGGACCCTGCCGCAACCTTGTCGCATCTGTATGTTTTTGTCGACTTATCAAAATCAACGCACGCGCTGGCTATTTGAATTGTCTGAACGGACAAGGTATTTTCGTGAGCAAGATTTAGTCATACTCGTGAGCTTAGATTAAACGAACGTCGTGTGGTTAGCGGAACAATGAATAGCTGTGTGGCGATTGGAGTCCTTCTGGTACTGGTCCTCCAGTACGGAGTGGTCCGGGTGAACGGTGATAGCAGCGACAGCGACAGCAGCAGTGGAGAGAAAAATCACAAGTACTCCACGACGGAGCACAAGTACAATTACCCCGCATATCCTGGTCCGGGCTATATGCCCCCAAATCCATACAATATGTATCCATATCAAATGCCGTATCCTACGTATCCTGCTTATCCGCCAATGGGTGGCTACCCTTCATATCCCTACCATCCATATATGCCGCCACCACCACAACAACTGCCGCAACAGCCTCCTCCACCGCCCATGTATCCCCCCGCCCCGAACGGATATCCAGGCGGCTATCCACCACAGGCGGGTCCTGGACAGAATCCGGCTAACAACCCAAATGCGATCCCCAACCAGCCGCAACCACAGCAGCCTGCTCCCGGCCCAGGAACAGGGAATGCCCCAAACTATCCTCCAGGCGGCTCGAGCGTTATTAACCACTCCCTTAAGGTCAACAAGGAATACAATGAGGACGGACACCACAAATCTTCCACGTAGTCGTAGTCGAGATACCATGTTACATGAAATTTTGAACATCGGTTTGGGCCTCAAGTTTCAAGTCGACGTTCAATACAATGTAGCAAAGTCCAATTAAATATCTTTAAATATCTCCAAAAAAATCTTTGGTAAAATAAAAGAAAGAACTCTTCTCTTACTATTTCAACTGAAGATATTTCTGAAGGAAGACAAGATTTTTAATATCACATATATTACATAATAAATGTACTTACATATATACGTAATACACAAAAATATACAAATATATGTACAGATTAGGCACTTGACTGATCCACTACCGTGCTGTGGTTGTACAAGTGCACGTGGTAGGTGTAGCTGTTCATGCATTTGTGGATACTGAACACCAGTGGCTCAAAAGGATGCCAAATAAAGGTGCACAATTCCCGGGGTGCTAGAGGACTAATATGCCGACGGGCCGTGACGTGCATTCTGAACTTGATTAAGTGCGTGGAACGGTCACGAAACACAATGGGTTCGGCGCAGAAGCGATGGGGTCGCTCCAGAGGCGACATGTACCGATTGTCGTAACTGAATTCGTTGAACCTTAGATAGGGCGACGGCGAGAGGCTCTGGGAGCTGACTGGTACGATGGGGTTAAAGCGCAAGAGCATATGTTGAAAAAAGGATTTATTGGCCTTCAAAAGGTTTTGCTTTAGGACGACATGCATTGGCATTGAGGGCGCATCTCCGGTTTGCAGCGATCGCACATTATTCATCTGGTCAGAGAATTGCAGTACGATTTGCAGCAGGTCCATGGAATAATTCCGATACACACCAATCACCTCTTCGCTAGGTATTGAAAAGAATACATACAAGTAGCGGGGTGATGAATCCATGGGCATGGTATCAGTATCTTTTGGGCGCTCTTCATAGCGCAACAGGAGAAGTTCCTCATTCACCAGTTGCATTCTCTCCATGATCATGTTTTCTATCTAAAGAAAGTATGCAAGAATGTGAAGCCTATTGTCCCTGTATATAAAGTTACTTACAAACTCAAAGTTCCTGTAAAACACCTTCTGTTTTTCCGTGGTATCGATTTGGCGGTACAGGAAGCTGAGGATGCGCTGTTTAATGTGCGTTATGGGCAAAACTGTGGTGGCGTCTAGGTTGTCAAAATCCGTGGTAGCCTGCTCGATAAAGTCCCTCGGGCAGGGACCAATCGTCTCCTGCTCGTGGAACTTACCGTCATTCACCCGGTAGACGTAGACGCACTGATGCAGCCGGGACATAATCGTTAATGTGGAGTCAAATACGAAAATGCCTTGGTTGTGGGCAATGACGATGGAGTCGTTGGGCAGTATTAGTCTATCTGTGACCACGCCTAGCTCCAAATCCACTAAAAAGAACACATACGAGAAGGCGTCCAGTTTGTCGTACAGATCCGGGTACCGGACGTAATCACTGACCGGCAGGGCGCCGCGCAAAGCCGTCATGGCGGCGAGCAGAACATACCGACCATCCTCCAGGAACACACTGAACTCCCGGTGCAGATAGTAGTGGCCATAGTCGCCTTGGCAGAGATTCAGTGTCTCCTTCTTAGCAAACAGGCGCTCAAAGATCGTGCCCTTGAGGATGCTGTCCTGGCTACTAAAGCACTCCACACTGCCCACGTCCGCCTGGCGGATCAGTTCACCCACCGCCGCGCAACTAAATCCCCTGTAGCTGTAGATGAGCAGGTTGCGCTGATCCTGGGAGAAGGCCAGGAGTTTGCTGCCGTCCGGCGTGAACTTGCGCAGGTAGACCGGCGGAATCGTAATCGAGGGAATGGTCAGGCACGGCGTGATGCACTTGTAGAAGGAACGCTCGTAGGCCAACAGCGGCATTCTGCCCAGCTGTCTGCCCGCGTTGGTGTATCCCGATTCGCGGTTCTGCAGCAGATGCACGAGGTTCTGCGATCGCAGGCGCTTCTCGTAGGCCATCCTGGCAGATAATGGGGAAGTTCTGTCCAATTCTTGGGGATCACAATGAATCAGTTGGCTTCCGATCGCAAAATAAATAAAGTTGAGTGTGACCGTGGTAAGACTAGCAAAATATACTCTGGCTACAAGAGTTTAACTACAACAAAAATAATTGAAATCTTTTTTAAAATTTAAATGAATAGGTTATTTATAAAATTAAGAATTCAAAAACAATTGATTTTTTTAAACAAATATACAAAAACAAAATATCTATCGAAGCCAAATTAAAAATATTTATTTATTTTAATATTAAACTAATTTAATAACCTGGACTAATCCAGTTTACTTTCGAACCCTCTATGTGACTGCATATTTCTGACACCGTATGCCTCTTTGATTACGACATTGTTTATGAATATAATTTTCGAAATTTCACAAATTATTTAGTTCATATCATCTGAAACTCAGTTAATAAAAGTTAATTTGAGGTTGTCTTCTTTCGAATCTTAAGATTCCAAACTAAGATTCACATAAATCTCATCTCCAGTTACACTAATCCCGCGTAAACGTTTAAGCGGCTTTCAGAAAACATTGTATTTTTCGAAATATTTCGGAATTTTAAATTACTATTTCACTTTATTCAGAGTCGAAATGTTCGCAGACATATAAATGTACACATCTGTTAGGGATCAGTTTGCCCATTCCAATGACTACCAAGCAGAGACTATAGTAAGCTTAGACATTGTAGCCCACAATGTGGCGCTTGCCGATGCACTCTCCGATGTAGAACCAGAAGATGACCTCGGCAGTCACCAGGGTGTTAAGCCAGGCCTCGCGAACGGTGAGGTTCTTATAGGCGCCGGTCTTGGCTCCCTTGATGATATTGCCCAGGCCCTGGCGGATGGCTGGAATATCGGCGGGCGTCGGGGGCGTCAGCTCCACCTTGGCGTACTTAAGAAAGACGTCCAGTTGGGGCCTCGCCTGTGTGAGGAGCCCTGCAAAAAAGCGATCATTACATAATTTAACGATTGTCAGGCGCTGAAGGTGGTTGACCATTTCGATTGTATTCGAATCGAGACACTCACTGTTCACAAGTCCTGATCCCTTGGTAGCCAAACCCGCCATCTTTTCAATTTGGTTCTGCAAGCAGTTGGAATTATACAAGAGGAAATCAACGAAATGTGCGGAAAACTTACCTATTCAGTGTGCGACGAAACAGAGATGTTATGCATTGGGGCCAGGGCTGGACCAATAGTTATCGATCGGCGGATAAATACTGAAAAATAAAAAATACAACTTACCTTACTCGTTAATTAAGGAAAGGGGAAACATTAGTATTCGTATAACTTTTTTAAACTAATTTAATCAGGCTAACTAATTGAACTAACTAATTTAATCAGTTTTAAATAAAATATATTTTAAAATTTATTATTTATTTCTCCTCACCCTCAGCCCAAAATATTAAGTGGGTGTCGATTAAGTGGCTAAAATGATTGAAATGTAATTAAAATATTTATTACATAAATTATATACAATAATATGTTGTATTTATTTATTTATTTAAGGAAATATATATATTTCCATGCGAATCTTGCGGTAACAAGTACTTATGTCAGATTTTCCGAAGTGATGAAGCCCTGCGGTGTTCTCGAACTGCAAAACTTCGGTCACACTGCAAAGGTGTGGAAATCTTAGTTTCCACAAAACGAGCAAATATTTGCATTTTTCAAGCCCCAAATTGGCTAATTAGAGTTCTCATCGGATCGAGTTTGCCACCGAACCCCCGAAACGGAAGTGGCTGCTTAATGTTTGTTGTGGTGCCAGCCGCCGAGCGAAAAGTGTGACGGGCGGTGAGTGTGCGAGGTGCTGTAAAGTGAGGTGGACTGTGTAAGACTAAGCTGCGCTGTTCAAAATCAAAATCGCAGCAGGCACTACGAATAGAAAGTGTGAGAGATACATTTGTGTGCACTGTTGCGATTTAGTGCGATTGTTTCAGTGCGAAAATCTGAAAGAGTCAGTGGCCCACACATAGGTACATTACTTGGGTGCTGCTGCTGCTGCTGCTCGTGCGTGTGTGTGAGTGCGTGACGGTCTAATATGCGTTGGTGGGAGGCCCCGACGATATACGTATATGCACGTATGGAATAGGTGCCCACGTAAAGGCCCCAGGTCATAGCACCCAGATACTGCCACCGAAAAGGGGCGCATTTTCGACTAATCTCGCCGGGACTGCAAAGTGCATCTTGCGGGGGTGACTTGGGCGTTACGCCCTTATCACCTCGCTGTGGGTATCGCTGCCGTGGGGTGTGGTCCAGACGTCGAGTTCGCTAGTCGCGCATATCCCAAAACAATTCAAATTACATATCGGCGATTGTAAAGAACACGTCTCACATGGATAAGCGTCTCGTGAAATCTTGACGGTTTAGTGTAGTGATGTCAAATCTCTTTAAACGAATTTTAATAGAATATGCTACGAATGTTCTTTAAAAATGTATAGCGTCCGGTTTTCTAAATTAAAATACTAACAAATTAATTTAATAACATCCAAACAATTTGCTACAACCTACCTACGCAGGATCAAATTTTCAATATTAGTAAATCAATATTAAACGTAATGAAATACCCTAGTTAATACAGAGTTTTATATTCAAGAGGGATTCATATGCCTTTCATAAATTTGTATACATTATTCTATATAAACCCTTATTGATTATTTATTAATTCCGTTTTAGTCGATGAGGACGCGCTAATTTACGGGTGTGCCAAGTTGGAGATAATTTTCAATTGCGCCCGACCATGCCGCTGCCCAAACGATCGATAGAACCCGTGCATGTGGCCCGCTCCGTGTACCAGCAGGATGAGCTGCAGTCCGTGGAGCTGGAGACGGTCACCAACACCACGCTGACGAACATCATACGCCAGCTGTCTTCGCTGTCCAAGCACGCAGAGGATGTGTTCGGTGAACTGGCCCGCGACGTGGGCAACATCGGAGATCGGGCAAACTCGCTGCAGGCGCGCATTGACCGCCTAGCCATCAAAGTGACCCAGCTGGACAGCACAGTTGAGGAGGTGCCCTTAACGGACATTACCCGAAAGAAGGCCTTCAAGTCGGCCAAGGTGTTCGACCAGCAGATCTTTTCACGCGCCACCATGCCGGCGCCCATGATGGACACATATGCTCAGTGCGACAAGCCGCCGCCTCTGGACAAGCTCAACGTCTATCGAGACGATGGCAAGGATGGTCTTAAGTTCTACACGGATCCCAACTACTTCTTTGAGTTGTGGCGACAGGAGATGCTGAAGGACACTGAACGTGTGATGCACGACAAGGGCAAAAAGCTAAACAGACCGCGGCAGGAAGGTGGAGCCGGCGGAGCGGCTGGACGTGGCAATAAGAAACAGAAGACCAAAATCAGGGTGCCGCACAATACGCGCGAACAGCAGCGACAACGTGCACTGGTGCACGGCGAGACATTGATGCCCAACAACGTCATTTACCGCACACCGAATTCCATGGTCAACGAAGAAGCCGGATACGGAAGTAAGTACTTGGCGAAAGGGATTGGTCTCCGAGAGAGCCAAGTATTCAGTGCGAACCAAATTCATAGGCTGTTATTGGAACGTTTGTTTCGCGCACTGACTATTTGCACTTGTCTTGCTATTGAATGGTATATTTTAATTATCAATTATGTCCTGTCTGCCCGTGTAGTTCAGCTAGTCAAAATACAGACTGTGGGCGAGGCTGACATCGATTTGCGGCATAGCACTCTCGATGCGCACCACCAAGTTGTCGGTAATATCCAAGACGTAGGTACGATGATGGGGCCACGTAGCTTTTATTTCCGCCCGGCTGACATCCCACAAAACAGATGTACCCGCCATTCATTCACCCACTTCACTCAAAAGCTCGCTAGTTTTCGATGCGCCTCAAAACCCAGTTAGAAAGATCACTAATTTGTATTATTTTGAAGTTGCTGTTAATTAAAATTAACCCACACAATCACGACCCAAAGAAAGGTGACCGAAGCTAAGTTTCCAGAGCTTTAAAACTAACAAGAGTTCCATCAAAAAGGTTTGATCAAAAATCTAAGAAAGATACATGATCTATGCTATTCCATTTACTATTACACAATTTCTGCCAGTCGTGTTCAGTCTCCTGTAAGTTAGCAAGACTTTCGACCTTGATTTTCTCTAATTTGAATTTAGTGAATTTCTTCCCATGAAGTTCGCCTTGTTGATGGTAAATACGGCCAGAAAAACTTACGATTTCATCCTCCGAATGGTCGATTATTTTTCGCAGCTTTTATTTATTTGCATGTTGTTTATATGAACTCTCTTATTGTTTTTGGTTACGATATTAATGAACGTGAACATAATTAGCATTGCAATTACGAATGGATCAATCGCGCATAACCATCTCATTTACAGATACAGTAAAGCCTTATAATATGCTTTCGCATTTGGAGAATAACAGTAATGTCACCAAGCAAACCGCCGTTGCGATTGCAGGTTAGACATCCACACACCTTTTAGCAAGCTCAGTAAAGACTATATATGTTCTTTCACACGCTTCTATCCCATTACCTTACTAGCAATCCTTTTTGAGTTCCTTTAGTATTTGTGTGTACAGAGAACACTCTCTTTTTCAAACTATCAATCGGAATGGCGATGATTTATGAGTTTCATGGTCATGCAAAGTGCAGATTTATTATCTCAAAACACTGTAAACTAGTCAACTTCTTTCTACCTTGCAATATTTTTGTAATGTGTGTGCACATTATGATTACAATGCATTTTGCATTTTGCATTATACTTAAATTCATTTCATACACGCGATTCATGATTGAGCCGCAGTTTTTGTTTAGGATCCTCCTATCTTTCTGTTGTAGTTCAGTCAATTTCTATATCTACGTCTACATGCCACTCTGCAGCTATACTAATTCCTTTCAGTCGCCACATCTTATTCTACAATAGTATCTCTAAATTCTTTTCTGTGCAACGAGCTTAAAAGACTTTTAATCGGATGTTTGTACATATATTCATCAAAAATTTCTATTCGAGTCCAGCGGCCTGTCTCAACTGCACAGAAATTTGGAATTGCTTGTAATTACATAAGTGTCTTGATATTCCTCGAGTGTAATTACAAAATAATTGGCGTGTTTTTAAATGAGATGTGTGTCCTGTATAAACGTTGATTTTAATGGGTGTGAGTCAATGGCTCTAATATCTCACATTCGTTTTTCTAGATATGGGAGTGTACGATACACGTCCGCCTCGTCCTAACTCGATCGAATTGAACCGAAGCTATCAGTCGGAACAGATCGATGGTAGCACCTACGAACAGCTCCCTCCCCAGATGGGCAATCAGTATGCTGCCACCTTCGGCAACGGCATGGGTGGCCCTCAGCAGATGCACATGCAGCATCAGCAGATGTATGACGCCGGGTTGTATCAGTCGCATGCGCTGTACGGCCAAACTGGACAGGGTGTGATGTCGCCGGAACCCATCTACGGACCGGGAACACCGTCGCGTAACAAGCCGCGTCCCTCACAGCCGCCACCGGCTCCGCCGTCGAATGGCAGCGGTGGTGGTACGCCCACAGCTTCCAACGCCAACACTCCGACAAGGGGCAGAAGTATGTCGACCAGTCGGGATGCATTGCCTCCGCCTCCACCAGTTCCAGACGTCATTTCACCAATGTCCGGCATGAACGGAGTCAACAGCGGGCACATGGCGGCCAAACTGCTTGGCCGGGCAAACAGTTCGTCGGGAGCTGGATCTCCGCAGATGACTCCCAACAGCGTCCAGAATGCCAATGAAATGGTCATTACGCAGCTGAGCACTACTTTCCACAGCATCGGGATGGCGGGCAATCAACTGAACTCCCTTAGCGACTTGCCGCCACCACCGCCGGTTCCAGACCAGGTTTGTTGTTCAGTGACGGTATTAATAAATCAAAGTTTTATTTCATTTGTGACAATCCCTTGCAGCACTCGCCTAAGATGTCGCCACCTAATGCCGCGCCACCACCGCCGCCGCCACCGCCTCCAGTAGAGGAAGGCATGGGTAGTGGAAACCAACACACGCTGCTGCGCCCGCATCAAATTCTTCCCAAATCTTTGGGCAATGGCGAAATGCAGCCCGGCCAACAAAATGGTGTGCCCCACATTGTTGCACCCAAGAAAATGCTGCCTCCATTCCATGACCCACGCAACGATTTGATGAAGGCCATTCGAGATGGTGAGTAATTGCAATTGGAAACTAATTTAAAGTTTGAATGGATTAAGAGTGCAACATATTGTAGACATATTTCCCAAATTTAAATTCAAACTGAAAATTCAGACTAAGATGAATTGGCTTTTTGATTTTGTTTGAATATTTAAAACTGACAATTAATTAATTAATCATTCCAGGTATTACTCTACGCAAAGTCGAAAAGTCGGAGCAGAAGGAAATTGAACGAAACGCGGCGCCATTGGATGTGGCTTCAATCTTGGCCAGACGTGTGGCTATTGAATTATCCGAGTCTGAGGATTCGGATAGCGAGGACGACAGCGAGGGCTGGATGGAACCTACTGAAACATCGGCTTGATCCCTGATTAACTCGTTAAAGCCTGACCTAATTCTAAAAAACAAAAAGAAAAAGTAATTCCAAAGAGAATTAATCCATACGATGGTCTTAACCAAGCGTGGTATAAAATTGGATTACACAAAAGCACCAAAGCTTTTCTACCACCCTTTATACAATATAAACCTAATCCTAAATAATATGTCTAAAATCAAAAATGTAATAGAATTGTATATACACCAACGAGTAATTATCGTTAAATTAATCGCTTTAGTGAACGCATTTGCATTTTAAGCCTAGACGACAATCCATAGATCGCGATTTAAAGACATGCTTGTTTTTTCGCTTCTTTGGAGTCAAGGTCTAAAAAGATATGGGCTTCTGTATCATAGTAGTCGGTGTTTGGATATTAAATTATAAATAATCGATATTACCATTGAACTCAATATTAAACATTTATCCAAATGAAAATTTAGAATTTTGTAAATACAAATACATTAAAATATCGAACTCCCGTAGCATTTCAATATACTCAACAAGCTATGAATTTGTATTATCCATGTGAAAGTTAAATACCTGTATAATTAATAAAATATGTTTCACGAATATAAGCAGCCATGGATGTGTGGTTAAGTAAGCAAACGTGGATGTATGTAATTTTTCTTTACACAAACTAAAATATATAATAAAAATAAAGTAATTATATTCCAAATTAATGAATACGTCTTGTTTGATAACTTTTAATGTTTGATTTTGATTATTGTTTCCTTTGGTTTAAGCTTAAATACCATAATTCAATTGAGTCAATTGAGTTTTTGTTAGAAAATAGATCAGTAAAGCATTTCATATTCAGACATAAATGCTGAAGTGGTTTGCAAAAGTAAGAAAGAATTTATAAAATAAAAATGGCGGCGCTACCTTCATTTACTGCCTCTTAGGAAGGGTCCAAAACTCCGTCTTAAAGTATATCCAATTACAGATAATAAAACTTCTTTTCGAGCGCATTCTGCGGAATGGAGTGCAAGTTCGTACCGACAAGAGTAGCAAGTTTTTTAGCGTACTGGCAAACGGCGGGAACTCGTGTGGTGCCTGACCAATTATAGTACAAGTGACACATCTTGTACGTAAGTTTCTGCATTTTCTCCGGGGAGATACCCATGGTGCTGTAAAGAACGTTGTAGCTGGTTGGCGACACTGTTCCCTGGCGAACTTGTTGGGAGACCAGATAGAAGTCATACCGCTCGGGCAGAGTTATAACGTCATCAACTACAGTACCAGGCGGAGGGTTTTGTCCGTTAAGAAAGAAGCGCGAGTTCATGGATCTGGTAACCACAATATAGGCTAATTGTGGTGGGCTTAGATCGACGCGGGCGTATTCAGCTTTGAGCTTCTCTACGATGTCTTTCACTTCAAATTCAAAAAGCTGCTTAAGAGAACCAGAGCTCACTCCGTCTCGATAGAATACGATTCGTGATGGCAGCTTCTTATGCTCTCGTTGATATTGGCGCAGGGCCTTTGCTATCATGGGCCAAAGGGTGTTAGCGAGCACATCAAAGGCACTACACTCCGTGACCGTGCTAAAGTACGTGGAGTTTTGCTGTAGATCCATTGAGGCGATCAATGCTCCGTAAGCCCTCTTGCGATCACGTGTGCTCTTCGCAATGTCAAAGCCGATCGTCATTAATCCGGACAAGGGCAGCTCTATCATCCACGGCGTATATCCTAACTTGCAATTCAATTGAATTGCTATTTTGGTGGCAATGCTCATTAGGCTACGATTCTTAGTCGTTTTTATAGTCACAACTTGAGTGGGCACAGCCCTGTCAACGTATCCTCTCTTTTTGATTGACGAGTATCTAAAATGAAAAGATATTTGTGTAATTTGTGAAATTTGTGTAATTTGAAGGATAATAAATACCTTTCAACGTTGTCATTGGGTACAAGGCATAATATAAGTTTGGGATCCGAGCGAGCACAATCATCCATAGCTCTCACATAAGTTGCCGTGCGATCGTCATAAATTATGAATCTGTGTGAAAAACGATAGTAAAGTAGACCAAGTAAACAAACCACGAAAATGTAAGTGTAAGCACGTGAAACCTCGCTTTACGAATTAAGTGAATTAAGTGTTTTTTAAATAGCTCACTCCTGGGGGCTTCTAATACGTAGACCCATTCCACTGGACGCTCTATACAAACAGTCAAGAAGAGCTCTTAGTTCACTTGAATTCCTTTGCGGCGCGATAACAGCCCACCGATCGAGGCCATCGCTCGGAGTGGTGAGCATCCTTTGGTCTCTGAAGTGCCTTTGCCAATCAGCGTTTTCTCCAGCAGGAACCCTGAAAACATTATTTAATTAAAGCTTGTAGTGATAATTTGCATCAACTCACTTTCCATGGTGAAACACGATGTTCTGTTGTCCAATTATCCGGCCTTGCACTTCTGTGACGTTCTTGTCGAGATCCATGTTCCAGTCTCTCAAAACTTTCACACTCTCTGGAGTGTTGTGCAAACGGTGGTTAAAAGTGCGCAATCGATCAATGCGTTGTTTCGGGTTCATTCGCGTGTAACTACTCATGGCACGCATAAGCCTGTTTATGAAATACAAGTGTAGAGCTAGTCAAAAATATATATGGGTATACTTTAATTTTTTTGTATTTTTTTATATTTTGTTTATCTTGTACATTCTTGTTTCGGAAAACACAATTGCATAATATAATTCTTGGATAATGTAAAATTACCCAACAATTACACATTTTCAGTGGATTCTTTGTTAAAGTCTTTGTTAATTATGGTATAAAAATATTAAATTGTTAAAAATCTTACTGAAAGTTTGAGCGCATGTCGTCATTGAGCCCAGTCACTCTGCAAAGCTCAGGAATTAGTACGACTAATTCGCTGGCGTTAGTTTTCAGAGCCTTGTCCTTATTTTTTGATACCAACAATGGCTGATTATGGTCACGAATGCGAATATTATATTTCTAAGGAGAATAAATGTTGGTAGTATAGTAAATGTGGTGTATATACATCGATGATACATCCTTGGTACTTACAGTGAGATAGTATTCCACAAAACTTATATCCCTACCCTTGCAACTGAATGTTGATTTCGGAGTTTGTCCAAAGTCGACATCATTAATACGATAAGTTTTGTTATTGTAATCTGTAAGGACAATCAAATCCAAAACATTTACTCGTACTTCGTCCTGATGACGACCCGGATTTTGTGAGCATCGTCGCATTATGTCGTAGACGGTTTCAGTGCGCATAACTTTGTGAGTTATTTCGGTGCCCAACAGAATATCCTTTTCATGCTGACGAATGGATGTCTCATAGCCCGGCCATAACTCCATTTTGAACTCCCTTATTTCAATCTAAAATAAATCATATTTTAAATGCATTTAAAAGGGTACAAAAAGAAATTACCTTGGCTCGGGGATCAAAGAGATTACGACCAACTAATTCCAGCTTTAGACCCTTCATGGAGCGCCGCAAAATTAGATTCAAAACTTGCAAAAAGCGCGGTTCAGCACACGATATGAATCCCACGAACTTTATGGATATTTTGTATTCAATGTCCAGCTTTGACTTTCCGCTGAGTACCGTGATTTCCTGCTCAAATTTCCGGGTGGTGAACAGTTGCAGCCCGTCGAAAAGATAGCCTGATCCCAGAAAGTTAGCATGATTGGACAAAACTCCCATACGGACACGAGGATTCTCGATGCTCGGCTCGAACTCCACATGATAATGAACGATCCGCCATTCCGGCTTAGTTTTTAGTCGGAAAAAGTTCGTCTGCAGCATGACCGGAACGCCATCGGTTCCCTTCTTGGATACCAACTCAGCCGGACGGGTATTTAGGTAATCATATTGATCGCTCCACGGTCTTCGCTCTTGTATTCCATCCCCACGTCTGGGGGCTTCCTCGGTAGCTCCTCTCTCTCTTAACGTCTCTACTCGAGGATCCGCTCTCGAGCCATCCGATGAAGACGCTCTGAATATTTTCTCCCGCTGCATAAAAAAAATATTATAATTAGTCGTAAGAAGAATTTCTAACTTGTATAATATTACAAAAGTAAATATAGAAGGCGCTATCAAGAGTGCACACGGCGGTTATGAATCGTTTGGAATGTGAGTTTTTACTATATGTATGTCGCGTATTGACACCCATACAATTTTTTTCCGAATAGCTACGCACATTTTTATTGAAATTATCTTAAAAAAAAGAGAGATCGTGCGAGAGCCGGTGAATCTGAACTTAACTCGACTAACCTTTCTACACTGAAAACAATCGCAATGACGAACAATAAAGAATTTTATTTAATATTAAGCTAAAACAAAGAACACTATGTGGTTAAAAACAACAAATGTAACTCTAAAACGTTGCCCGGTTAAAAAAAACTTAGCAAACTGATTTCGAACAGTGTCAATTTTCGTCTAAACTATCGAACTTACGGACAAGCCTAGGAAGTTATTGTTGCTAGGCTCAAAGAAGAATTAGAGAACAAAAAGGGTGCCTAAAATATTTTTTTGTGTTTCCTTTGCTCCAAGCCATCACGAAGTTGTTAAGAATGGTGATGAATATTGGAGGTGATGAAATGCTGATAAGATAAATATATGATTATGTACAATCTGTGAAAATGATACAGAATATTTTTGTTTTTTTTTTCCTTTTTTTTCAAGGCAAGGCTGATATATAATTGAATGGAATGATAGCATAATACATCATCTGATTTAAAAAGGTGTAGGGATATTAGTTTGACAATTATTATATTAAATTCGTTAACTGAAGGATTTCTACAGTTGTCACCCTTTGTTCAAACGCACGCAAATATAAAGATTTTTCAAAAAAAAAAGAATATATATATAAGAAAATAATTCAAATTTAAAAATTAATATTTCTAAAATAAATTCAAATATGCAACCTGTTTAATGCAAAATTGAATTCTTGAGGCAGGACCAGTGGACATAAGCACCTAAGAATCACTAACTTCAAATTTTTTTCACGTCGCAAGCTGAACGACTATTATTGTAGTATAAAGTAATTTATTAATTAGGTATTATGTACATTTATTCATCTATTCCTATTTTTATGATGTATTCAAATAATTATCATGTTAAGGCAATGCAAAATAAAAGTTTTGAACATAGTGGCAATCGATAAAAAGTAATATAGATTTTAAGTTTACTAACTTGTAGGTGAAAGACAATTTTGTCAAATTTACAATATATGAGCATACGTGTGCACACATACAGTGATCGGCTGTCGCTGTTGCGTACAAGAGAGCTGCTGACTCTAGAGTGCTCTCTCTCTCTGGCTCTTGAACAAAAATTCGAGAGAGCCTGGATCCAGCTCTAGAGCCAGCACGAAAAAAAAAACGTGCAAAAAAATCGTATGGCGTTACGCATCTTCTTATTCTAATGTCTTTGGTAAAAGGGTATACTAGATTCTTTGAAAAGTACGAAATATAAAATCTATGTACATGTATGTATATATTCTTGATCACAGGATCAATAGTCAAGTTGATCGGCATGAACGTCGATCTCAGACACTAAAAGCTAATACTTAAAGCAGATTCCAGAGACATAGACGCATCGCAAGTTTCCTAACAGTTGCCACGCCCACTCTAACGCCCACAAAGCGTGTAACACCCAAAATTTTATCGATATATAAGGTTGTCAAATATCTCCCTTCCGCCTTTTTGTCTTTTGAAAGCGCTACAGAGCTCGTATCTGGCAATACTATACATAATTTGAAAGGTCTTGACATAACCTACAAAACGCTATGCATGATTGGTTTGGATATTGCGTTCAATAGTTATAGACGTGTAAACATGGAGATCACTAACGCCGAAATTCGCGCTATTTTAAAGTTTTCCTTCGTTAAAGGCAAATCCGCTAGAGAAACGTTCCGTGAGATTAATGGTGTTTTGGGGGATGGTACTCTATCACTTCAAACCGCGGAGGAATGGTTTCGACGATTCAGAGCCGGTGAAAACGACACCATGGATAAGCCAGCCGGCGGAAGACCTGTGACGACAAATACCGATCAAATCATGGAATACATCGAGTTAGACCGGCATGTGGCATCTCGTGACATCGCCCAGGAGATGGGAGTTAGTCACCAAACCATTTTAAACTATCTGCAGAAGGCTGGATATAAAAAAAAGCTTGATGTTTGGGTGCCGCATGATTTGACGCAAAAAAAACCTTCTGGACCGAATCAACGCCTGCGATATGCTGCTGAAACGGAACGAACTCGACCCATTCTTGAAGTGGATGGTGACTGGCGACGAAAAATGGATCACATACGACAATATCAAGCGAAAACGGTCGTGGTCGTAGGCCGGGATTGACAGTGGCCAAGCCGGGATTGACGGCCAGGAAGGTTTTGCTGTGTGTTTGGTGGGATTGGAAGGGAATCATCCACTATGAGCTGCTCCCATATGGCCAGACGCTTAATTCTACCATCTACTGCGATCAACTGGACCGCTTGAAGCAGGCGATCGACCAGAAGCGTCCAGAATTGGCCAACAGGAAGGGTGTAGTGTTCCACCAGGACAACGCCAGACCACACACTTCGTTGATGACTCGTCAGAAGCTACGGGAGCTCGGATGGGAGGTTTCCACCTGTTCCTGTCCATGGCGAATGCCCTTGGTGGTGTAAAGTTGAACTCAAAAGAGGCTTGTGAAAAGTGCTGTCCGAGTTCTTCGCAAATAAGGAGGGGGGCTTCTACGAGGGAGGTATTATGAAGTTGCCGTCTAGATGGAAACAGATTATCGAACAAAACGGCGCATATTTGAACTAAATCCGATCACTGTAACACTTTTTATAAAGCATTGAATAAAGAGCAGAAAAGCGGAGGGGAGATATTTGACAATCTATTACAAGGGCTCGCAGCTTATTTCGCACGGTCTAAAAATAAAAGTTTAAATCGTCAGTGCCGCCATACTTTTGGAGGTTTCGAAAAAAATGAGATATATTAACACTGAATTCTTAAAATTTAAATACAAAAAAAAATTTTCTAAATTGTTTCTATAAAACAGAAGGTTAAAAAAAACAAATGAGCATATTTTTATGCCGCACAGCTTATTTCGTGCAGTAGGTTTTTATTTAATAAAATGTTAAATTTTCTCGTTAGCACTCCCACTAGCTGAGTAACGGGTATCTGTTAGTTGAGGTAGTCTCGTACTCTCTTGTTTTACTTAGAAATTGGTCCACGATAGGGGACTTTTACCAAAACTTTTATTTCATGTTCTTTCCATACGTAAAAAAAAAGCTCAATATAGCGAAACAGAAATGTCAATAATTCTACTTGGAAGTTGAAATTGAAAGAAGCGTTTTAGAGAATATAATGGATTCCTTTTGCATTAAGTGCTTGGTCAACAGAAATTCAAGAGGATTTTATGCTTGCTGTGGAGTTTATCCGAATGACTTAAGAAATTTTCAAGAAATTTTTACAATGTTGACCAGGACAGATTGTGTCGGGTTTTCAAGCTCAAATTCATTGCGGATTTTTGTTTATTTATTTGATTTTTAGTGCTTCCTTTTGGTGTCAAATTCCGAAGAAAGAAGTGCGCGGATTTTTGTTTATACACAAATACATTTACCATCTATGTAAGTGCATGCGTGTATGTACATACATGGATGTGTTTTGTGTGGGCGACATAACGGAATTTAAAGGAATGTGCTTTACAGTTTTTAGATAGCTATGATTTTTGTTTATTGTTGAAATAAATGTACATACCGGTCCATCACAACTTCCTCCGGAATTAGAGGGCTCTTCTTTGTTAAGTGGGCGCCTGCGTCCACGTCCCTGATCATCAGCCATATCTACTTGCTTATAATTTCCAAATAGGAACTGAAAGAGAACTTTAAAAACGACGCTTTGGACTCAGTGTGACCAGATGGACATATTTCAAGGTTGGTCGTCAACTTTTGGAATGTGTCGATATCAGGCTGCATAACAGAAAACAATCTTTTTTTTGAAAACAGCCGAAATCAGTTTTCTTCCATTCTAACTACTTTTACGTTTTCCGTAGAACTTTGAAAATGATAAAATAAAATAGTATACAAAGTCCGTGCAAGCTTGTGTTAACTCCAAATAGACTAGATAATGCACACATAATGTTTTTAGCAAAATAATAGCGTAACTTCACATATTCAAAAATTTCAAATCTTGTGACCACCACCCTAAAACAGCTTAAGTACATATTTGACAATCAATTATTACGATTATTAAATTAATTATTAAGTTGATTAAAAATCAACTGTCAAAAAATAAATAATAGATTTAATTAAATACTTAAAATAAAATAAATAATAATTAAAGTGTGAAATTTGTAAACCAAATTTCAATCGTTGCTAGAGCCTTAAATACCACAGTATTTAAAGATGACTACATATGAGGTATTTTCTAGCATTTACAAAACGTCCACCCTGTTAAACAAGTAAACAAGTGAAAATGGAAGATATACAAATATTTGAAAGATCTCTAAAGGACTTTGAATACTTTAACGACTTTCAATGTTTTCTCAATTTAAAAAAAAATGCTCGAGTGCGGGCCACGCATGTAAAGAAGAGGCACCCACGATTTAATCCCTTGACGGATCTGAATGAACACAAGTTCCGACTAAAGTACAGATACACTAAGGAAAACCTTCGCAGAATTATTGAAATTGTACGGGATGACTTGGAAATTGAATATTTTGAGCCGTTGAAAAGGGAGCAAGTTCCAATAGATCTGCAAATTCTCTCCGCCATTCGGTTATGGGGTGGCACAGAGGTAAAGTCAAACATTTCTGTATTGCAGTCTTGCAAATTTGTATGTACATCAAAACCGACTAAACAGATTTTCAAAAATGCCCGCTAAAATGTTAACTAATAATTTGTACTGCATTTTTACCCTATTAAAGCACCCCAAATTAACTGCAATGGCCCACGGCGTAAGTCTGCGCACCTTGGCAAAAATAACGAGGCGCGTGGCTTCGGTTCTATCATCGAAAGCTTCCAGGTATATACGCATGCCGGCTACTCTATCTGAAAAAGAGCGATCAGGATCTGCTTTTCAAGCTATTGCCAATATGCCGCAAGTCATTGGGGCATTACTGCAGACAACTGTGAGGTTTCAAACGGAAAACTGTGCAACTGATCTGGATAGAGAGGAGCTATTTCCCAACAGGGAGGAGCTTCACATCCAGATTGTTTGCGATGCAGCTCATAAGATAAGGGACCTCGACATCCGACTGATCGAGGAACATTCAATGCTAACCGACACCGAGATGTTCGGTCTGTCCAAAATTAAGGATCGCTTCGAACAGAACGAGTTCCGTGGTCGCATTCTGCTGGGCAACGAAATGGTGCGTTGCTCCTCGTCCCTGTTCACACCGGTTCGATTCCCGCGGAACCAATCCGAAGAGCTGTATAACCACGCACACGCGGTCACCTACGCATCGGCTAGAAAGTGTCTCAATCTGTTGATGAGTCGTTTCGGTATCCTTGGCGCCGAAATACAGGGCTCCCATGGATCTGCCAAACAGACGATTACGGCGTTGGCCATACTACACAATATGGCAATGGAGTGGGCCGATCCCAGCATTGGTAAGCAGGCAGGACGGATCCTACAGAGCTTAATGTTTAATAATTTACAATTTTCCTTTTCAGATACGGAACAGAACATTTCACCATTCAATTCCACTTTCTTCAATTCCACAGGAAGGTCCACAAAATCCGGAGAGGACAACAATAGAAGACAATTCATTAAAACACATTTTGCTTCCTAGTAAATATAGTTCGTACAACAAATCCCCAACATTACCAATACAATTTGTACTTTCAGTATTACAACAATTAAAAGCAACCCTGTATTGTCAATGTCTTAAGTCTTTTTATCCAAATTAAAACAGCTTTGTTTTAATTTCTTATTGTTATTTCTAACGCATGATTACCGATTCACAACCAGACTAAACGGGTAAGGTGAGCGATTAAAACAGTTTTTCCGGGAACTCCCCTATCGGCAGAACAGCTGCTGCGTGCGCAATCGATACCTATCGCAAGGTGGCTCACGCTCCGAAGTGCTCTCGCTGCCATCTCCAAACTGTGCACATGGATATTCTGTTCTTCAATAAAACAGTAGTTTAGTTTTTTGTTGTCATAGGCTGTGAAAAGTTTTAGTGAACGTTTAAGAATTTCACGCTTAACTGGAGTTACCGAATAAGCCAAAATATTTATAGACAAAATTTTGCATTTGCTATCAGTTATATAGTAGGTATATTGTGGTGTTGTCTTCGCAATCATTATGAAAATCTAAGATGTGTGCTCGATTTGCATTTCAGTTTTTGCCTCCATTTACATACATTTACCTGGCGCATTTTTCGTGCTGGCAATGTAATCACACCGAGCTGACGACAAGTGCCAGTGACCTAGATTTTGGGAGTCCTGCGCTTGGGGAGAGTAACGACACCACCACCGCCACCGCAATCCTGCTCCGTGCCCGTTAATCCTTCCAGCTGCAGCAACAAAGTAAAGGTCACAAATCGCGAGGCAAGTAAGTTTTTGTACATATGACCTGGTTTACGGAGTGGCAGCCATGCAGGATGGCTCCTCCTCAGGGGGGGAGGAGGGTTAATCTATAATGTATATTCACCGTCAGAGTGGCATACTATGCATTCTGGCTTCTCTCTATCTATCCACCAGATATGATTAATCCGCATCCGTAATCTTACGTCCAAATCCGATCAGAAATCATTCACAGCATTTAAAACTTGTTGTAGGCCTTTTTTTGGGTTAGCGGAGTCAGAGATCGCAACGAGCTTAGTACCCCTCAACAAATATATGACTATATGACCAGGATCTGACATGCGTAACAACAGCGGCTATAATATCCCAGCCAGCAACAGTCTGAACAACAATGGAGCCCCAGCGCCACGTTACTGCAATGCGGACAATACGTTTTGCTACTATAGCTACGATAACTGCAACCTGATCGCTCCTGCGTGGAGCAATCGCCAGAACCAGAATCAAAATCCAGTGCCCAACCAGAACCACAATCTGCCGACAAAGAGAATTCCCACCAAGCAAGCGGCCAGATCGAGCTACCATCAATCGGCAGCCAATTCGGCGCCGGACTCATCACTGTTTACCGATGCATTTGGCCAGCACTCGCTGGTCAGCCAGCGGATAGCTGGCAACAAGAGCTGCGAGTACGTCTATCAGACGGTTCTGCGATCGGAGGATCAGCATTCCAATACGCAGTACAAGCAGGCAAGATCCTATGGCGCTGACAAGGAGCAACAACAGTTGTTGTTGCAGCCACCCATCGTGTACTTCGATCCGGAGCTAAAGAAACGGAAAGCCCGAGGGGGACGTGGGTCCACCGAATATGTGGACAATAGTCCGGACCGATATCGGCCACTCAATTCCCATTCACCAGAGCCGACCTGGGATAACATACTGTAATTTTGCAAATGCCTTTTTGTTAATTGTCCTGCTTGTTGAAACTACATACCTCCAGTACACGCACACACACACGTATTTTGTTGTTGTTGTGTTCGAGTCTTAAAATTACAATTTGGAAAACTACCGTTAGATACCACACAAACTCTAGTTGCGAGTACATAGCTATATACCCACAGACACTCATTGAACATACATAGATGTGTAAACAATAAACATAATCCTTTGTTCGCCATGTTGTAAGTAACCGCTCTCCGTTCTCGTTTTTCAGCTCGGATCGCCCGGTCCAGTATCAGACGACGAACCAGCACTATCAGCACTATTTTTCGTACTTTTACAACCGTGGAGCGGAGAAACTGTCCAAGCCAACGTTTGCCGCTGCCAATAGCCGCAAACTGCCAATGAGTAAATTCCAAAAGGCCGGCGCCAGTCGCAGGGATTCGCGAGAAGCCGATGACACGGTTATCATTGGACGAAGGAACAATTCCGAGGACAGGAGCTGGCAGGGTCAAAAGTATGACATGCACGTGCTAAAGGAAAAGCTGCCAAGCAATGATTTGGAAGCCGATTACTTGGACAATGGCTGGGGAGAGCCTGAGAGCGGAGAGGACTACAGGGATATCAAAGATGGCTATGACCCTGTTGTTGTTATTGACAATGGGCTGGAGCAGGTGGGAGTACATCGGCGCTACTGCAGAATGACCGAAAATACGGTCCTGGATAACTCCGGAGACACGCTTATTAACAACAACAATAATGAATTAAAGGTTATGCGTAAGTCGACGGATCAGCCCATGCCCCGATTGCCCATGACGCCAAAGAGGGCCAAAGGTGGGGCCGTGTCTTCTAAAAAGCCAGTGCCCACGGTTCACCGAGTCCTGCTGTACAGCACTCAGAGTCCACGGCTGGGCCGCAAGCAGCAATTCAGCACCCAGCGGGTAAGTGCAAAGCAGCAGGGCTCCAAGGCACTCGGTGCAGGTGACGAGGGACAGACGGTCATATTGCTGGAGCCGGAACACAAACAGGAAGACCACCGCAGTGCCATTGACTTCGATCGTAATGACGACTTCGAAGAAGATGATGATCTCGATAATCGTAAGAATAGTTCTCCCAAGACCTCTTTTTGCATTAATTGAAAATGAATCAAAATTAAGTTAATGCCTACCTAACTATTGTTTACTTTATCGTTTACTCAAATAGTTTCCAATTTCGACGAAAGCGACACTGCGAGTGTTTTGTCAGACACTGAGGACGGTTATCGTGCCCATGCCTACAAGCTCACCCACTCTGCGGATAGATTTTCATCGCCCCAAAGCACGCCCAGCTTTTTGTCTTCACAGTCTTCTGAGGATGACCTGAAGAATCCGGATTCCCTCCTGGTCCCCAGTTTGTTTCCCTATGTGCCCCCTTATTTGTCTTTTTCGTCAAACACAAAAAGAGGTCCTCGCGTGCCGCCGGATCTACATCGGGTTCTAAAGTGGCGCATTACAAACATAATGCCCAAGGTAGTTCGTCTGATTCTGGCCAACAGCGGAATGCGAATGCTAAAGAGTGAGTTTCTTCATAACAATCAGATTTCGTTTAATAAAGATTTTCGCCAAATAGAAACCAACGACTGGATGGGCGTATGGGGCAAGCATTTAAAGTCACCGTGTTTTAAGGCCATTAGATCGTATCAGAAAATTAATCACTTGCCCGGTTCATTTCGCATCGGTCGAAAGGATTCGTGCTGGAAAAATCTGCAAAGGCAGATGGGTAAGCACAGCAACAAGGAATTCGGATTCATGCCACGCACATACATTATTCCCAATGATCTGGGAGCCCTGCGCAGGCATTGGCCGAAGTATGCACAGCGAAATACTAAGTGGATAATAAAGCCACCAGCTAGTGCTCGGGGTGCTGGCATCAGGGTTATTAACCGGTGGGGGCAGATACCCAAGAGAAGGCCCCTTATCGTACAAAAGTAAGTATTGTAATCATATTTATTCGCAATCATATTTAGCATTTAAATATTCTGTATTTGTTTCATAGGTATATAGAGCGACCGCTTCTAATAAATGGTAGTAAATTTGACTTGCGTCTGTATGTCTTAGTTACATCAGTAAATCCCTTGCGAGTATTCATGTACCACAACGGATTGGCACGCTTCGCTTCGGGTAAATAAATATCTAAAATCAAGTGATCCGTATATTAATAAAGTTTCTTATGTGCAGTAAAGTACAGTGCTAAGGCGGACACTTTGAATGATCGGTGTATGCATTTGACCAACTACAGCATCAATAAGTTTTCCTCAAACTATTCGAAGAACGAAGATGTCAATGCCTGCCACGGACATAAGTGGACTATCAAGTCTCTGTGGACGTATTTGGCGAATCGAGGAGTGCGTACCGACTGTCTGTGGGAGGCTCTTAGAAGTTTAGTCCTTCGGACGATTCTCGCTGGCGAGAATGGCATTAATAGCATGATAAGAGCAAATGTTGAATCAAAGTACAGCTGTTTCGAACTATTTGGCTTCGATGTTATTCTGGACTCTGATCTGGTTCCTTGGCTTTTGGAAGTTAATATTTCACCCAGTTTACACTCGGAACTGCCACTAGACGCTCATGTCAAAGCGCCTTTAGTGCAGGGCGTTCTTAATACAGCACTGTACAACGTAAGTGGGGACATTTAACATGGTAACATAGAGAACGTATGTTTTATATACCAATCCGTATTTCAAGGTACCTCCAAAACTATCTCTCGATAAACAAAAAGAACTGGCCGCAGAATTTTCCTTTCCTCCCGGCACACAAATGTGCTACGACAAACGACTTTACATCAACTACTTATCTCGCGAGGAAAAGATCAAACATAACACATTTACCCGAAAATCTATGGAAGATCGGAATGAGGTACATCGAAGATTTGATACTCACAGATTCGATAAATCACATTCATAATCACTTCACTCTTCCATTTTAATACAACAGTATGTCAATGCGATCCTGAATAATCTGACCCCCGATGATGTGAGGTGCCTTATCATAGCCGAGGATGAACTTGCGCGATGTGCACCCCTGGAGCGCATCTTTCCAACTGATCAAACCCATAAGTACCTTAAATACAACGACAGTCCGCGGTATTACAATCGCCTTTTGGATGCCTGGGAATCGCGCTACGCTAACAATCGCACAGAAGGGATTGCGTTGTTGCGCGATTATTGTCAAAACAAATACCATCTTCAAGTCCCTACACCTCCAGCCAAAAAGGTGAGAAATTTATTCATCAATGGTGCAGAAGCTTTTCACAAGACCCATTTAAATAAATCGTGAATTATACAAAACAAATGTGTAGGGCAGGATATTTTTTAAAGAATACTAATATCTTAAGTTATTATCCTATTTCGTTTATAAAAAAACCTGTTTTGTCAAACCAA